CATGCTACTATTTAAAGATTTTTAGCCATCTTTTATATATTTTATTAACTTGATCTACCCACTATTATTAGTATGGTAATCAATTTTATCTTAACAATTTGTATTTTGTTCCGAAAAATATTACAACTTTTTTTGCAGACTTACATAAATAATTAAATAGTAATTAAAAGTGTTTTCGCTGTATAGTAAGCAGTGTTTTCAAATATTATTTTAAGACTTGGAATCAATCATTTTTAACATATGACCCACAATAATGGTGGATTAGGAAGTGTAGTTTATTAAAAACCAAATAGCTTTGCAGGTTCTTCACAGCACTTTTCTCCAAAAACATCAAAATCGAAGTATCTCATAAGTACTTTATTTAGGAAAAACATTGACAGTTTAAACCAGATCCTGCAAACGTTTTTAAAACGTTATACATTATAATACTTTAAAACGTAAATATAAATAAAACTATAACTAACATTATAATTAAAAAAACCTATTTTTACTCATTTTATGTTTTATATGTTTAAAAATATTATTCGACATTTTAAAACTTACAATAAATAATGTTTACATCAAAAACTTTATATAGATATAATTTCTTAAAATTAAAAATTAAAATTACAGTAAATGCAATAAAGAAATAACATTATGATAAAATAAAATGTAAAACAATAATTTTTTTCAAATTTCAAAACCTGGATTTAATTTGTCCAAAGTTCCCATAATGTTCTAAAAAGTTAAAATGTCTGGAGACAAAAAAAAATTAAAGATTTCAGTTCATTCAGGTAGTCAAAAATTCAAGAGTATAGATGTTTTATTTAAAATAGTTGAAATGTATTTCTAAGTCTATGTGATTTTAGGGCGTAGTTCAACTTTTTGCTAATTTTTTTCTCGTATACTTTAAACTATAGTGTACCTACATACACCACGAACACATCAAGTAAAATAGATTGCTTTCGATTTAGTATCACGTATCTTATATACTTACACATTTTTAATATTCAAGTAAATTTCATATTTAATATATAAATGAAAAAAGTAATTTGTAAATGTAATTTTATTTCATTACTTATTATATTAAGTAATTTAAAAGTTATTATACTTGTATACAAGTACTCATTGGAATAAGAATTACTTTTGCAGTTAAATTAAACTATAATTACAAAATTAATTTACACAATACTGATTATTAGTCTAATTCGTAAAAGTCCTAACTCCAAAATGATAATTTTTCAGAAGAAAAGAATACCTTTTAAAATGTGGAGTTAGGGCAGTTTTTACATAATTATTTCGATGATTTCATGGAAAAATAAATTGTTGTATTTGAGTGTGATTTTAAACGATATGTTATTAGCTTCGATGCGAAGCGGAGAAGGTATTAATTTTACTATGATGTGTTTTTTTTTTTTTTTTTTTTTTTTTT